GTCCATGTGGGAACCAATGATACTGCAATGCACAATCTTCAGAATATCAGAAGGAATTATGAGGCTTTGGGTAGGAAGCTAAAAAAGCTGGACACACAGGTTGTTATCTCATCTCTTTTCCCAGTTGAAGGGCATGGTCCAGGAAGCGAGAGAAGGACAGCAGATGTGAATAACTGGTTCCGTAGATGGTGCCACCAAGAACGATTTGGCTTCTTAGATCATGGGCTGTGGTTCCATGAGGGTGGACTTCTAGCAAGAGATAGGCTGCATCTCACACCAGTTGGCAGAAGCATTTTTGCCAATAGCCTCAAACATTTGATCAGGAGGGCTTTAAACTGAGTCATGTTGGGGAGGGAGACAGTTGGCCTTTGCAGACTGCCAGAAATAATGCAACTCGAGTCCACTTTAACTGTCCCAGCTCAGTGCTAGGGAATCATGGGAACTGTAGTTTTTTCTGAGACATTGAGCCTTCTCTGTCAGAGAGCTCTGGTGCCACAATAAACTACACTTCCCATGATTCTCTAGCACTGAGCCAGGGTAGTTAAAGTGGACTCAAGCTGCATTATTTCTGGCAGTCTGCAAAGGCCCAGTATCTTGGAAGGTATCTTGGAAGGTAGGAATACAGAGGGAACAAGGTAAATGATGCAAGGGCCCAACAGTGGGAGGGAAAAACCCTCACACAGGCAGCAAGTGGGGAAGACACATGCTCTTAGATGTTTCTACACTAATGCACAGAGCATAGGAAATAAACAAGATGAACTTGAACTCCTAGCACAATAAAGCAAATATGATATAATTGGCATCACTGAAACCTTATGATTGGAATGTAGGAATAGAGAAAATATAACCTTTTTAAGAGAAACAGGCCAAACAGGAAAGGAGGAGGAATAGCATTATATGTCAGGGAAGTTTACACCTGTGAAGAGATACAGGACTTAAATCCTGGAAATCAGGGGGAGAACATCTGGATAAAAAATAAAGGCGAAGGAAACAAAAGGGATGTTATAGTGGGAGTCTACTACAGACCCCCAAGGCAGACTGAGGAACTGGTTGATGCCTTTCTAGAACAGATGACCACAAAATCAGAAAGGAGAGATGTAGTACTGATGGATGACTTCAACTATCCTGATGTTTGCTGGAAGTCAAACAGCCAATACTTCAAGATCTAGCAAATTCCTCACTTGCCTCAAAGACA